TCAACTCCTACAACACTAAAGGTGAGTCTCTAAGCGTGTTGTGATATCAACACTAACATCAAACAATGCATCTTGACCTGCAAGTCTAAAGACAGCATCGCAGATCATGGACTTCGGTTAGCATTACAGTATACCTTATCCACCGATAAACGCACCCCTCCCAACTGGGACATTCAAGATGATCTCTTGGTGTTTAGAGGATGAGTCTACATACCCAGGGACACCAAACTACGGCAGGATCTCATACAGGAAGCCCATGACTCCCCTACCACAGGACACCCTGGACGATACAAAACCCGGGAAATTCTCCAAAGAACCTATTGGTGGCCCACTCTGGCTCGTGACGTCAATGAATATGTTACTGGTTGTGCAATCTGTCAAGAAAACAAAGTCATCACACATAGAAACACCCCGGATCTAGTACCCATCACAACGGAACATAACCTTCCATTCCAATCTATCGCCATGGACTTTATCACGGATCTTCCTCAGAGTAATGACTTTGACAGCTGTCTAGTGGTAACCAATCATGACTGTACCAAGGCATCAGTATTCATACCCTGCAACAAGATGGTCACCGCATCAGAAACAGCAACCCTGTACCAGAATCATGTCTTCCGATGCTTTGGACTACCTGTCAAAGCTATATCGGACAGAGGACCACAATTTGCATCACGAATGTTTAGGGAACTGTGCACCAAACTAGGGATCAAGCAAAACATCTCTAGTGCGTTCCACCCTCAAACTGATGGACAATCAGAATGTGTCAACCAAGACCTGGAACTGTATCTTCGGATCTTTTGCAATCACCATGCTACGGATTGGACACATCATTTGCCACTAGCTGAATTTGCACACAACAACAGATATCATGACACGATCAGAACATTACCCTTCCAGGTGCTCATGGGTTACCAACCGAGGCATAATATTCCCACTGTGGGAATAACTGACGCCCTGGACATTGCTTCAAGACTCACTCAGCTAACACACCTTCGCTCAGAAATACAGTCCAGCCTTAGGTTAGCAGAATAAACAGTCAAGAAACGGAACAAGGACAAGTTTGTTGAATACTCAGCTGGACAGAAAGTATGGCTGGAAGCAACCAACCTCAAAGGACTCCACCCAAAAGCAAAACTAGGCCCGAAACGTTATGGACCCTTCACCATCAATCAGAAACTGTCACCGGCAGTTTATCGGCTGAAGTTCCCGCCCAAATGGAAGATCCATCCAGTATTCCATGCAGGATTACTTTACCCATATTCGGAAACGACAATGCATGGGAAGAATTATCTCCGACCTCCACCGGAACTAATCAAGAACCAGGAGGAGTTTGAAATTGAACGTATCATTGATTCAAAGACGGTTGGCAAACGAACGCTGTACCGGGTAAGATGGAAAGGATACCCAGCCTTGGATGACTCCTGGTTACCAAAAACCGAGCTTTCACATGCCAAAGATGCTTTGGCAGACTTCCTGCAACCAAACAAAGGAAACTCCTTATAAGAACTACTCTTTCCTGAGCTCGCCAATGGCATCCACCACAGTCCTCGCCGCTCTCCTCATCTTTACCTGGTTCCTCTTCGCCCTCATCATCCTCATCGCCACCCTCGCTGTCTTCTACTTCAAGGAGACTTACAAAGTCGAAGTGATCCTCACCCGCCAACCGACAACCCCCACAGTTGACCTAACCCCGGAGTGGCCAACAGGAGTACAAGTAACACCCCCAATTCCACTCACTCCCACTCCTTTTACTGATCTTTGTAGTAGTGAACCAACTCGCTCCCATCGCCGCCGCCACCCTCGTCGTCGCCGACAACCACCCCAACCTCCTTCTCATTGCCCTTCTGAGCTTCTTCCTCCTCAGCCTCCTCTCCACCCTTGCCCTTGCCCTCATTGTCCCCCTCCTCCTACGTCTCACGATCCGGCACCTCGAACGAGAACACCAGTGGGCATTCAACATCGCTGCCACTGCCCAG